AAGACAGGGTCTCACTCAGTCGCTTAGGCTAGAGTGCAGTAGTGTGATTACGCCTCACTACAGCCTTGACCTCCTGGGCTCAAGTGATCCGCCCACCTCAGCCTCCCAAGTAGCTGGGACTACAGGTGCACATCTCCATGCCCGGCTAATTTTTAAATTTTTTTGGAGAGAGAGAGTTTTGCCCTGTTGCCTAGACTGTTCTCGAACTCTTAGGCTGAAGGGATCCTCTCATCTTGGCCTACCAAAGCACTGGGGTTACAGGCGTGCACCACTGCCCCCAACCTGCCATTTTTCAGTATATTCAGCACGTTCACAATTCTGTACAACCGTCACCATCTATCTCCAGAGCTCTTTTCATCATCCCAAACTGCATCCCTCTATCTTTTGGCACTTGCAAAATATTATATTTTCCATCTCTTCAGTCACTGGACAGACACTAGGTGAAGTCCATGATGCTGTTCCAAAATCTGAGTGGCCTCGTCAGCCCACTACACACAGGAAGCCCTTCAGCTAGATGCTCGGGGGTCAGAATTCTCGGGCCAGACCGGGTGCGATGGCTCACACCTGTAATCACAGCACGTTGGCAGGCCAAGGTGGGCAGACTGCTCAAACTCAGGAGTTCGAAACCAGCCAGAGCAACATGGTGAAACCCTGCCTCTACAAACAAATACGAAGATTAGCCAGGTGTGGTAGCGTGCACCTGCATGTAGTCCCAGCTACTTGGGAGGATGAGGTGGGAGGATGGCTTGAGCCCAGGACATCAAGGCTGCAGTGAGCTGAGATTATGAGACTGCTCTCCAGCCTAAGTGACAGAGTCAAACGTTATCTCAAAAAAAAAAAAAAAATTATTGGGCCATCTGGACATGAGGGCAGGGCTCATCTGTTGATCACCCAGCTAAGCAGAGGCACCAGTGTCATCCAATAACAAGAGCACCAAGGCCTTGCAGATGCCACAGGGGCGCAACACCACGAGAGGAGGAAAGGGGAGCTAAGATGAGAGAGGAGAGGGTCAGACTCAGCATCCAGAGTGGCTTTCACACATGGTCAGGGGAGCCACTCACCAGCCACCTGCACCTATGCAAAACCAGTACCAGAAAGGGACCTGCTCCTGTGTGGTGCCCACATTGCCTGCTCGGCACCATCTTCAAGCTTTGAATTATTACCCTGAAGAGAATCTAAAATGGCATCTAAAATATGCAAAGCCATGGGCATGAAGAGTGCTCTACAGTTGCTTGGTTAGGTAAGGGGGTGGGACCTACTGCAAACAGGTGCCAGAGAACATTCTGGGAGTTATAAAAGCTATTAAAAAATTAAAAAGCCGGCCGGGCGCGGTGGCTCAAGCCTGTAATCCCAGCACTTTGGGAGGCCGAGACGGGCGGATCACGAGGTCAGGAGATCGAGACCATCCTGGCTGACACGGTGAAACCCCGTCTCTACTAAAAAATACAAAAAACTAGCCGGGCGAGGTGGCGGGCGCCTGTAGTCCCAGCTACTCCGGAGGCTGAGGCAGGAGAATGGCGTGAACCCGGGAGGCGGAGCTTGCAGTGAGCTGAGATCCGGCCACTGCACTCCAGCCTGGGCGGCAGAGCGAGACTCCGTCTCAAAAAAAAAAAAAAAAAAAAAAAAAAAAAATTAAAAAGCCAGGCACGGTGGCTCGTGTCTATAATCTGAGCACTGCGGGAAGCCAAGGCAGGCGGATCACTTGAGGTCAGAAGTTCGAGACTGGCCTGACCAACATGGTGAAACCCTGTCTCCACTAAAATACAAAAATTATAGCCGGGTATGGTGGCTCATGTCTGTAATCCCAACTACTTGGCAGGCTGAGGCAGGAGAATCACTTGAATCCAGAAGGTGGAGGTTGCAGTGAGCCGAGATCATGTCAGTGCACTCCAGCCTGGACAACAAAAGCAAAACTCTGTCTCAAAAAAAAAAAAAAAAAAAAAGCCAGGAGTGGTGGCGCACACCTATAATCCCAGCTAATTGGGAAGCTGAGGCAGGAGAATCACTTGCACCAGGGAGGCAGAAGTTCTAGTGAGCCAAGATCGCTCCACTATACTCCAGCCTGGGTGGACAGAGTGAGACTCTGTCTGAAAAATAAAAAATAAAATAAAATGACAGCCAGAAGATAAGTATTACCAGAGCTGGGGAGACTGACTGCAGAAGGGGAGGAGGGCCTCTGGGGGTCTGCGAGTGCCCTGCATCCGGACTGGGGTGGTGTTCACAGGGTGTGCACACATTGGCAAGACTCCAAGCTGCTCACTTACCACGGGTGCAGGTCACTCCATGCAGGTTACACTTTGATAAACAAAAACAGGCAGAAAGAAAGGGTTTTTTCTTCCCTTGAGTTCATGGTGTTTGAGAGCTAAAATTCAGTTAGGGAGGGAAACAAGGCCAACTAGACTAGCGTGAGGGCCTAGCTGGGACCCTCCCGAGTCCAGGCACTCACCCGCCCAGCTTCCGGCCATAGGTGATTGCCTCCTCCACCAGCTCCTGGTAAGCGGGCATCTGCGCTGCGGCCAGGATCAGGGACGGGTTGGTGGTAGCATCCTGGGGCTTGTACTCGTCGATGGCTAGGGAAATAGTTTTCAAAAGCCAAAGTAAGTGAAGCGCTTGCCTCCAACTGGAAACACGTGAAGGAACCCTATAAGTCCCCAGGATGTTAGGGGAGTCCAGAGCATTTCCCGAAGTGGGGTCCAGCCACACTTCTCTCACATTCCTGGTCACCGAAGGTTCATCAAGATGCGGCTGTTTGCACAATGATGAAACAACAAGTACTAAGTGCCCAGAGATCAAATATGCCCCTGCAAGAGCTGACTTGTAACAGCATGGGAGTGAGAGGTGAGACAACTGGGAGAACGCTGGCCGTAGGAAAATATGCTTCCCGCTGCTGTACCACCACAAGGAGGCGCACGGTCTAGAGTCAGTGACCCACCTGTGAACACCGATCTTCTGGGCTGGGTCATCATCACCACGCCCAGCTAGAACAGAGTCAAAAAGTCAAGGGGAAAAGCACTCAGGGTACACAGCATTGCTCCAAAAATAATTATTTGCAAGCCTAGCTGCTGAAGCAGCCTCTAACCCGAAATCAGTTTATCTAATAGTTGCTGAACCGCACTGCTGCAACTTTAAGACTAATTTTACCCACTGCCATCACTCACCAATCATTCTTTTTAGGTTTCATAAAAAGACTAAATTAGCCAGGTGTGGTAGTGCATGCCTGTAGTCTCAGCTACTCAAGAGGCTGAAGCAGGAGGATCGCTTGAGCCCAGGAGGTTGAGACTACAGTGAGCCGTGATTATGCCACTACACTCCCACCTGGGCCAGAGAGCAAGACCCCATCTCTTAAGAAAATAAATTCAGGCCGGGTGCAGTGGCTTACACCTGTAATCCCCACATTTTGCGAGGCCAAGGCTGGTGGACTGCCTGAGGTCAGGAGTTCGAGACCAGCCTGGCCAACATGATGAAACCCCGTCTCTACTAAAAATACAAAAATGAGATGGGCATGGTGGCACATGCCTGTAATCCCAGCTACTCAGGAGGCTGAGGCAAGAGAATCGCTTGAACCCAGGAGGTGGAGGTTGCAATGAGCCGAGATCACACCACTGCACTCCAGCCTGGGTGACAGAGACTCTGTTTCATAAATAAACAAACAAACAAATAAATAAATATCGCATTCAGTAGCTTCTGCCGGTAACTTGACAAAACCTGATCTAAGAATCCTTTTCGTTGGAGTGGGCAACTTTGACAACGTCTCAAGTTTTTGTTCAAATTGTACTGGTGATCAAAGTTGACATTCTCTGCTTTAATAAACCCAGTCATAAAATGCTACTTAGTGGCTGGGCACAGTGGCTCACACCTGTAATCCCAGCACTTTGGGAGGCTGACGGGGGTGGATCACTTGAGGTGAGGAGTTCGAGACCAGCCTGAGATTGTGCCAATGCACTCCAGCCTGGGCAATGGAGTAAGACTCTGTTGCAAGGACAAAAAAAAAAGTTGTTTTCTTCAGAGTAACCAACTAAACAGTTCAAAAAGTCCAAACTTGTAGGCACTGAGTAGCTTTCTTTCTTTTTGACAGAGTCTCACTCCGTCATTCAGGCTGGAGTGCAGTGGAACGATCTCGCCTCACTGCAACCTCCTCCTCCAGGGTGCAAGTGATTCTCCTACCTCAGCATCCTGAGTAGCTGGCACACACCATGACACCTGGCTAATTTTTGTATTTGTATTTTTTTATGTTTTATTTTTTTCTGAGATGGAGTCTTGCACCGTTGTCCAAGCTGGAGTGCTAGTGGCTGCAATCTCAGCTCACTGCAACCTCGACAGGCCAGTTCAGCAATTCTCCTGCCTCAGCCCCCTGAGTAAGCTGGATTACCAGGCACGAGTCACCATACAGGCTATTTTTTTTTTTTTTTTTTTATTTTTAGTAGACAGGGTTTCGCCATGTGGTCAGGCTGGTCTCGAACTCCTGACCTCAGGTGATCCCACGCCGACTTGGCCTCCCAAATTGCTGGGATTACAGGCGAGTCACACTGCGCGCCCAGCTCTGAAGAAACAACTGAACTGTGTTACTCCTGCTCTATATCAGAATAATCAACACAGAGGATTTCTGTGACCAAATGTGTGGGGGTTTCTCCCCATACACCAAACAAGCAATTAATTCTTCAGTGGATACCAGCTGGGTGTCCTCCAATTCAACTCCAACCCTGTCTACCTGGAGACAGCCTCAGATCCCACAGGTTGAGGGCTTAGTCCCATCCAACCATTCTCCACTTCCCACCGGCCACAAGTCTGGGCTCCAGAACTTCTGATCCACTGGCCTCAAGTTGGAGGTGCCAACTTGAATTAACCTTCGTGTTCAGTTAATTTCTGGAGCAGATCACAGAAGTAAGGGAAACACTTACACGTACTGGCTTATTATACAAAGGACACAGAGGAAGAGATGCATAGGGCAAGGCATGTGAGAAGGGGCACGGCGCCTCCATGCCCGCCCTGGGTGCACCGCC